GTAATAGACACTTTTAGTCGCCTTTTACAACAAGCTAGGTGGCTATGGATGTATTCTACTCTAGTCTCGCTAATCCACAAGAAGAGGAGTGGGATAAAACCCGCTACTCTAAACGAAGAGAAGTGAAAGAAGTCCCGCAAGTCCACACGGGGAATTAAGATATATATGATACTATGCTCTATATGAAATACTATTCACTATCAGAAGTATCATCATCAGACTTATTAGGTGCACCCTCATCATCAAGGTCATCACTGTCAGATAAATTATCATTGACATCAACAAAACGATCCTTTAAATCAGATATGTGGTAATTACCTAAATCTTTTCCATTTAAATCTTTAATATTATATACTAGTTTAGAGAGAACTTTATGTACTACACAAGGAGTATATTTTGGAGCAAACTTAGCATTAAAATTATTAACCTTTGAAGATAAGACGAAATTCCTTTTCCATAATTTGTCACCAACATGAAATTCAATATCTCTTTTTCTTAAGTTATAATATTTACAATTCCTGTCGTAGGCCATCTTAAGTTTTTTTCTAACAGCGGTATCTTCGTTAATCTTTGTACGATATTATATAATTCTTATATAAACAATTCTATTATATAACTAGTTTAGTAGTAGTATTTGAGGGAGAATAAGAAACATGACAGAGACGTTTCTAATGTCCCAAGGGTATGTTTCTGGAACGTTCGTGTAACAATACTGTGCTATTAGGGACATAATAAAGCTAAACCGTCAAAGCGATCTTCTAGCATGGTAGATCTTAGGTAAGTTTTAAATAATATGGTCATCTTTTTAAAAGTTCAAGAGTAGAGACTTGTTACAGAAATTGTACATGTATCAAGAATTTTAAGAAATATTTGGAAAATAATAGGAATCGAAATTTTGGAGACGACGCCGTAAAATCCATTTAGACATAATGTTATTTTCCTTTATTTAGAAACGCTCTAGGAGGAGCTCCCTAAATCCGCCACTGGCTGGGAAAGGCTACAAGGCTACAACGGCCAAGTTCTAACGAAATCTAATGTTATCTAATTTCAAATCATTTGATAATAAATGTTTTTCCAATTAAAATTTTAATTTGTATCTTTTCTAAGGAGAAAAGGAGGGAATTCGGGTTAGCTTATTTGTAAATAAATGATACACCATAGATTCAATAAAATATTTTAATATCACAGTCTAACTACAATGAGTTGAGGTCAATAGGAAAATGATTTCAATATAATATCGATGGTAAACAGGTCATTATAAATATATATGAATATAATCTCAATATGAGCATGGGTTTAACTGAATTTTACTTGTTTTATAGATTTATTGGTCGTAGGAACATTAAAAATTTACACAATGGCAAAACAATATTTAGTTCCAAATATAATTCAGCTAATTTATAAATAAATGTCTCTTAACTGTAATATATTATTGCTTCTGGTTTTAACATCCACAATTACCTAAAAATAATTATAATACACCTGAAAATAAAATAGGGTAATTTTTAATATATTTGTGTCTTTGGATATTTCAAACCAGCTATGGTAATATGGAAACCAGATCTGTATGGATTATTTCTACACCAAATAAAAATTGGGATATCAAACTGAAATATAACGAGAATGTCAAAAAAAGTCTGTGGTTAAATTTAATATTAACTCTGTAATAAAATATATCTCGGTTTTCTCGTTCTTTTTACAACTATAATTAACCGGATTTAGTAAATGTAATTTAAAAGAAAACGTATTAGGTTCATAAATTTGTTTCTTTCTTGTTTCGTTGCAAACATATTTGTTTTTTTGTTTATGACATTACTAAGGTTATAAATAATTATGGATTATAACATAACTTTCATAATGTTTGTTTGTAAAGTTTATCTATTAGAAATTTTGATGGAAGTTAAACTGCATTCTTTAAAAAACAAATGTTGCTTCTCATTTTTAACAGACTTCAAAAAAAAGGAGGAGGTTCTCATTTCGTCGGAATATTTTTTTTTTCATTTATGTTCAGCGATAATTCTTTACCACGTTGTCCGATTTCAATTTGTAATGGCATCTGCATGATTTTGAAGTCAGTTTTCTTTAAAATTACTTTTATAACTTGTAAATGTCCTAATTAAATATTAATTTTGTATTGCACTGTACTGTGGATTTGTTGAGGTATTATAGAAAGCATTAATTATACTATCTACAATTCTGGTAAAAACTATCTACCATGTGTAGGTACATATCTTAAAGACCCAAGGACAGACTATCCTCAGTATTTTGAAGAGCTAATAGTAGTAGATCAGTTTGGTAATAAGATGAGATGGTATATTTGCGTCTGAGGCAATACAAGAAATATTTTACGTTAAGCATACGTTTGGAGAATAAAAGCCAAAAGTATTTGGTTACGTATAAGAGTCCATTGTCAAAGTTGCTGCGTCTAGATAAAAAGACAAAGATGGACAATTGTACAATGTGTGGTTGAAATAGTCGTTTTGAACAATTCTCTTAAAATCTACTGTTGATCATCATAGAAAACATTATAAACACTGGGTATTGTGGATATTTGGGTTAGTTTTATTTGAAATGAGGCACACTAGAAATAATAAATAATTAGATTATATTGACTTAATGCGATATTAGTTATTTTTTTTTTAATTTTAAATAATTTTGTCATAGTTTAAGCTAATTAAAACAAAATGAAGAAACGGGATATATTATAAATGAAGAAAAACTGAAAATTATATTTATCTATTAGTATTATACAGGTAGTCCGGGTTTAATTTTTCTGTACAATTTTTTCGTATTCTAGCAGAATATTGCACGAAGATAAGGTTTGAGCACGACACCGTAGGCCGAGTTGTACAGGATATTTTTTCTACAACCCACTAACGATATTCTACAAATTTAAAAAAATAATTTAGGCCATTAAGAAAAAATTACTAATTTAAAAATACTTTATTACTTTTACTAATTTATAAAATAAAATTAACTTAAAAAAAAGATTTTATTCAAATAGTCTTCAATCAGATTTGAAACCCAGATCAATGGCGGCTTGTCGCCAAAATATTGTCAATTTCCCATTATTCGACAATTTCGCATTACTCATGCGCGAAAAAAGCGCTTTTTTAAAATGTCATCGTCGAGGGCTCTATTTCGTTATTCTACAAGGTAAGAATGAACGAAATATTTGTAATTATACTTTTGGCAAATAACACACCTAAATGTGTCACCCTACCAATACTGTCAAACGCAAAAAGAAAATGACATTTGCAGATGTACAATTGGAACTCAGGGTGGGAAACATAATAATAAATTTTCATGATTTTAAGCGAAAGTAGAATTTGTACACGAGTAATAGAGTGGTGATAAGGCCAAAGCATCTGCCTTCCACGCGAAAAATCCAGGTTGAAATCTGGGCTGAAGACTAATTAAATTATATGAAATCTTTTTTTTTTCATGTTTATTTTATTTTATAAATTAGTAAGATTCATAAATTATTTTAAAATTAGTTATTTTTTCTTAATCTAAAAATAAAATGGTATTTTCCTTTAAAAATAAAAAGTAAACTGCAATTTACTGTTGTTTCCATTAAAACTATGCTAAATAATTAAATCCGTCGTTCGGAGCTTTCAAACAGAAAAAAAAAAATCAACTCGATATCTGAAATAATGACTAATATAAGAGCATGAGGAATTTTTAAAAAGTTTACCAACACAAAAATGTTAAGTTACGGCACTGGTGTAATTTGGGATAGTCTCAATTTTAACATTAAGGTTTACTAAGTTTTTAAAGGTAATGGATTACCATATATTCTTCATTATTCTAGTTATTAGTAACACAGAAATATTATTCAACATGGCAACCATTTTGACAGTTGACAGAATTTTTTTAATAAAAGATTCTTATCCAAAAAGTACACTATTATGTAATTGGTAACTAAGCAGTAAAAACATAATTATTGTTGTTCTAGTTTATAAATAATGCTTCCCTTTATTATAACTTCGAGTCTAGTTACTGTTGATCTAAAATGGGAAAGTAATGTCAAATATAAGATATGAAAGTAGAGGAAATTGAAGTTTTTAGGTAGAAACAAGTTCAAAGGTAGAAACGCCATTCATTTTTGTTACACATTTTTGTATTTTTTATGTTTATAAAAGTTGGTCAGCGTTATATAAGTAATCATCTGCGTTTATATATACGAAGATAACTACAAGAATAATGTATAACATAACATGTATAACAATATTCTTCTTCTTTAAATGATTTTATTCGGATCATCGAGATAGAATGAAGTATAGATGACATAAACACTATTTTGCGATATGACAGATGGACGCACTTAGCGATGTTTGACCGAGGAAAAATGTAACCAAAATGGCGGCTTAGGGTGATATTATGATTTATAACTCCTCTTTATTTTATTCAGAGGCTTAGTTATGAAGGGCATGACTTTTTCCTATTTTACTAACTTACCCTTACTGGTTTATTGAATTTCTGTACAGGAAAGGTAAACCTAGACACTCTGTATATTACTATATATCCGCAATATTGCTTTCTAAATTTATAAATAATAATAATAATGCGATAATATATTGAATGATATGCCTCATTCGTGCCAAGTGATTTTATTTTTTGGCTAAATATAGTTTAATCATAATAATGTGGATTTTTACTTTGAAATCGACTAAAAACAGAAACATATAATATAAAAATCCGCTTTATTCAATTAATATTATTTTTTTTAAGTAACTAATTATTTTATATAAATAGGACAAGTAGTATTTACCAGCAATTCTACTCTACTAAACATATAAAAATAATTTACGGTTTGGGCTACTGGGCGGCTGACTACAATTATTTAAAACATCTACTATTCTACAAATAAAATTAATTGTATAGTACAAAACATAAATACTAAATATACGAAAATACTGATTAACAAAAAATTAAGTAAAATATACCCATTGTTTACTTCAAGATAGGTTTGCGCTACCTTAATTTGTAGATTGAATTCAAACACTCATAACATCTTTCTCTTTTCTAACATAAGATCTATCTTTTAGGAGTTGGTCAATGTGATCTTCATTGTAGAATACAACGAAATCCTTTGGACAAAGTCCCTCGAAAACGGCGCATACAGAAGGCTTTAGATTATAGAAGAAGAGCGGTTGGTCTCTAGCTGCAAAATCTTGAGTTAGGATCTCTATGACAGTAGCTGCTGTGTAGTCGGCACCGTAGATGTGGGAACAGTCAATGACAACGGGTATGGCTTGACGCAGACTGTGTTTGGTAACCAAATTTCTGACGTAGTCGACCGATGGGAATATTAGACATCTATCTGGAGTTAACATGAGGTATTCAGTGTTTTCTTTGGACTGAAAGAAAAAAATTAATTATAATAATAATTATACATTACATATTTCATAAATTTTTCTTCAAATTGATTTTTGTAGGTGGATGTAAAAGTGTTTTTTATTCGAATGTGTCACAAAACTATATATACATATATTTCAAATGAAGTGCTGCAAAATACTTTACAACTCCGGAAAAAAAGTCAAGCGACTTTAATTTCTAAACATTCTTTTCTGTTTTTAGTTTAAGTAAGTAGCTGGTTATATATTTTTTTAATTGTTAAATAGTAATTCATAACCCACATGCACATCAAATCTGAAAATATTTTTCATTCAATAAGAAAAATCTTAATAACCTACTTGACTTGACATATAAGTTAAGCACACTGACATGACAGCAATTGTTCAATTATTATCAAGCATTGATATGGCAACCTGAGGATTGGTCCGTCATTATTGAGAGTATAATTTGTCAATTTTATAGGTTATCGGTCTACTGTCATTTATATAATTAAATTAAATTTTATTTGTCTTTGAACTATTTTTGAGTGTTAAAAAACTTTATAAAGTACATAATGCATAGATGTATAATACGTTCCTGCTCTAGCAATTCTCATTTAAATACAAAATTGACTGGAATAACCTTTCATACGTTAGTATAAAAATTATAAATATTTTACAGGATAGTACCCACATAAAATCAATGTTCTATGGATATACTAAGAACTTTATGTTCTTATGTTATGTTCTTGTTGGTTTGTCCTTTTTAGAATGTTCTTAGAACATATCTAGTATATACTTTGAAAGTATGTTCTAGAAAGTATATACTGAGTACGTCCTTTGAAAGTATAGTATAAAAAGCATATGTATACTGAGTACGTCCCTTAAAAGTATATTCTAAAAAGTATATACTGAGCACGTGCTATAACAAGACATTCTTAGAAGATACTAAAAGTCATATGCCCAGCATGTACTTCATAGTCTAAGAATGTCTTTTTTTCGATGTGGAATCACCCCCTTAACTGTTTTACACTTATTTAGTATTGGTTGGTTAAAGCCAAAGAAAGAATTTGTAATAAAAATAAGAGTAAGTATGAATTTTTGGAAACAAAGATTTAAAAAATATTCACTTATATACACTTATTCTTTAATGTTCAATATTAATGAAACATCCTGTATTAGGGTGTTTAGTATAAGCTAAATTTAAATACTTAGCATATACTTAAAACGTACTGTAAAATAAAAGTAGATACGTATTGCTTACTGTACAAGTAAGAGTAAATTTTCAGTATCAGTATCTATTAGAAGTATACCAAGGCGTAAGTTGTACATTAAATTATATTAATATTTTCGACTCCTGTCTGATCCTAGATACAACTTTGTCAATAAATAGTAATTGAATCTCGGATCAGCCGGGAATCGCGTCTATCGTTACTGCGAAACTGGTTGTTTGGTTTCGGAATTAAAACAATGGACAGCGTTATGCCGCTACGCCACCATGCCATGGTTTAAGATTAGCCTTCAAAAAGATCCATGATCCACAGTGTAATATTGTGAGATTTGGGTCAGTCAACTTTTTTTAAACATCCGGCGCACTGAATCGGATCTGATCCAATCTGCCCATCACTAATTGTATTATCACACGTTTTCTGTAAGATTTCCTGGAATTAGAAGTTGAAAGACATTTCTATTCTGTTTATCTATTACTCAAGTATGCGAATGTGATATAATTCTGTCAAACAGCTAAAAGCGAATATGACAATGGAACCGTGGATACCTAGTCATACGAATATACGAAATGTCATAGCTGATAAACTTGCTAAATTAGGACTCAACAAACATTATTCTGACGTAATGACAATGGATTATAGAAATATGCTACCCAGAGTTAAAAATAAAATTTGGAATGATTGGAGTGAAGAATGGCGAGAACTGAGTCAAACTAAGGAAAGTAACTTTTTAATATATTAGAAAAACTGCCTCGAACACCCTGGTTTTTTAAAATTAAATTAACAAAGGGACAAATCGGTACAATGGGCAGAATCAGAATTGGTGACTGCTATAGTTCTGCTCATCTGTTCCGAATTGGTATCCTTGACTCCCCAAGTTGCAACTGTAGTGAAATTGGAAGTTTAGGTTATATCTTGATGGAATGCAGTACTAATACAGACAATATAAAATTCTTATACCAAAAAATGGTTTCAGCTTTTCGACCTCAGTATTCCCCTTTATGTTTAAATGATTATTTACGAAAACCAATTTGCAGTGCAGTCATAATCACGTCATTCTTAAAATATTCTAACATTAATTTATAACAAATATTGTTCACCTTTTTATTTTAATTTTACAGAGCCAAATAGTGTTTTAAATTTTATATTTATTTACATGTAACTAATGTTAGTGCTGGTTAAATAACTTGTATAAGTTAAGACCAATAAATGAAAAAAAAAACCCAGACAGTCAATGATACATATATGGTTATATAGACTACTCAAAGCGGGCGAGCGGCCATATTGCCTGACGAGTGTTCATTAATTGTGTTTTAAAACCAATTTCCAGCTTTTGCATATATTAAAATAGTATATTGTGTAACAAGTACAGAAAATAACCAATTCCACACGATGTGTGAAACTTGTGGTACTAGCGAATGCGAGTGTAAAATAGGTTTTCTGCATAAGTGGCACACTATACTTTTTCTACGACCACAATAACTAAAACCCAAATTTCACATTTTTTTTAAAGAATTTGGTGAACTTTATTAACGATTTAAAATTAGAAATATTAAGAGGTGGTAAATATATATTATTGTTGTCACTTTTAAATTTTGTAACATATTGACTTTTCTTTAATCTAAATTTAATTTATATTTTAAAATGTATCTAACGTTAGAAATTTGTAGCGTACCTACCAGTTCTGAGTTATGTGGCCTTTTTCCACTCTGAATTTTCATATTTTTTTTCAAAATAAAAAAATAGATGGCTATTACTGTGATTGGTGAATTTCATCGTTATTCTGACATGTAATAAATATAATCTTAACATCTTTCTTTCTTTCTTTCTTTCTAAAAAATTTGCATTATAGCATCGGGTAGACGGTTTAACGCATGCGTTTATATAATAATAATTGTAATGAATTAATTTTGTTTGTTCATAGTTTATTATTGAAAAGATCTTAAATTATCTAACTGATTAAAGGATATGTTGATTTCCTTTCAGAAGGATACAACAATAATTTAAATATTTTACTTTTAAGGATTATACTGAATAATTTTTTAAAATTCTTTAAAGAGTATTTGATATAACTATGTTAAACTCTATGGTAACTCTCAAACTGTTGCGCTAACAATTTTTGAAATCTTCATGGCTTAATCAAGAAATACTTCCAACGAATTTCACGTGCTGATGTAATGTTTATCATTTGGACACGCACTCCATACACAACAACTAATAAGTGCCTGTATCGCCTACCACGACACATCGTCGCTCTTGTCATTTCACTCCTCTTTAGAATTTCTATAGGACAACATGTCTCGGGACTGGAACACATCTCTCGTTACGCATTTACTCTTATTTCGAGTTTTGAACAGTTAAAATATCTCGGAGTCGGCATACATGTCCTGCTACACACTTACTCCACTTGCAACTTTCGACACGACATGCCTCGGAGTCGGTATATCGTTAATTCGTTGGCGAATTAAATAATTGTTTAAATATTATTTGTACACTTACCAGGTTTTTTTCTACAGTGATTTTTGGTCTAGCTGCATGATACAGAATGAACAGCATATTGATTCCTATTCCAACTAGGATTCCAATTTCCAAGGCAAGAACCAAGCAGGCGATGAAAGTTGCAAAGCCAAGTAAAAGGTCACTTTCTGGAAAAATAAAAAAAACAGTAAATACATTTTTCTTCTACATGTTTATTTTTTTGTCAAAAGTCATTTATGGCTTGTCTTATGTAGGCGTCAATTTTTTTGTAATTATATAATATTGAAAGAGTTGTAATGTAAAAACTGTTTATTTTTTGAAAATATTAGGAGTCAAAAAAGTTTAAAAATTAATTTTAAGCAGTAGTTGCACAATATTTTTTTAGTTAGGTACCGTTGTTATTAATTGATTAATTTTAAAAACTACTATAAAATTTCATATTTGTGGTTACTAATGTTTCATTTAATTCAAGCAAAACCATTCTATATTATCAATCTAAATTAATACTTGATTGCCAACAGTCTCTCCAGGCCCTAGCCCAAGATCATCCTTGAATTGGTGCCGGGACACGAGGAAGTGTTTGGAAATGAGAAAGCAGACCTCCTAGAAAGGAAGTGAGTGGAAAAAACTATAATTGGACTAGAACCCACATGTGGTATTTCATACCAACATGTTAAATGGGTGTTAAAGGAACAAATAAATAGAGAACAACACAGGCTCTGGTTGGAACTTGCTGGACTTAAACAGTCCAACAGATTCACAGAGGGTCCATCTAAGAGCAGACAAAATCAATTGCTAAACCTTAGCAGAAGCGAACTCAAGGCCGAAATAGGACTCCTTGCGGGACACTGCGGCCCTAGAAGACACCTAAATCTCTTAGGGATATCTGATGACTCCCTATGTAGAATATGTGAAGATGAGGACGAAACTCCTGTTCACATACTATGCCACTGTCGGAACCTTAAATGGGAACATCCAGTACCTGAAGAAATCGCAAAAGCGCCCATCAGACATATTCTTGAATTCATCAAGAAAATCAATCTGATGGGGTAGAAACTGTTAGGGGTACAATAAGCCTAGAGCCCTAATTAAGATAGATAGATTCTGTATCATAATAAAAAAAATGTATACAATATTATATCTCTATATCGCTAAACTTAGAGTAGGGTAGAATCATAAAAAATATTGCATGTATTTTTTTTTTTTTTATAAAATAGGGATTTTGGTAAAATTATATCAGATTAGTGTAAAAGTAAGAAAAAATTGCAACTATTTTGTTGCTTTATTAAACTTTTAAAGAAATAGAAAAAGCTACTCCTGTAAAAGTTTGTGACTTAAAATAGTTCTGCTCTAAGGGAACCAATTTATAAATAAACCTTACACCCTGTAGAATACCCGTTCATTAGAAATATTCACGATAACTTCTATTATTTATCATCGGTGTTCCACTACATGATCGTATAAAACCAAAATCGTTACACCTGATGTAACAGTTTATTAACCCAGTCGCAATCACCGAATTTAAATTCATTAATGTTTTATAATCAAAAAGAAAAAAAGATTTGCAAATTTGCGTCAAACAAAATTCCCATGTGCTCAGTTAATACGCATTGGTCCATAACAACCAAATTCAAGGTTGCGGCAGATGAAGACGTGAAAGTAGTCGAAAAATATCGAATGTTTTAATGTTTATGCCGCCTTGCGGTTTTGGGTTGATACGAATAGTACCAATCTGTGACTGTGCTGTATTTGTATTTTTTGCTTCTAAGAAATAGTATTGCAAGGTGATAGGAAAAACAAAAACAAATGAAGTGGAAAGACAACAATATTTCATAACAGAAACTGTTTCTGTAAAATAAAAATTTTTACCATAATGTGAATAATAGCTATTTATGAATCCAGTTAAGAAATGCCTTTTTTTATATAACGAGTGAATATTTGCGGGATGAGCAGAGCAGCGCTTACATCTGCTGTATTACAGTATTTGGGACTTATTCCGAAAGAAAGATCGTCTTCAGTTATTGACCGAAGTAAGGTCCGAAGAGTCCGTCAAAAATACCGTTTTGATTTAAAAAGCGAATTCCAAACATCTACTTCGGAGATTAGAACATTATACTTCGATGGAAGAAAGGATAAAACGATGTGCCAGAAAAAAATTAGAGACAAATTTCATCGCAAAATAAAAATCGAAGAACATATATCATTGCTCGAAGAACCAGGTTCAAAATGTATGGGTCACATTACACCAACAACAGGTATGGGAAAACATATTTCCACATCTATAGTTAATTTTGTACAAGAATTTGACATCAGTACAAATAAGCTTTTAGTAGTAGGCTGAGATGGTACAGCGGTTAATACAGGAAGGAAAAATGGAGTTTTGCGGCATTTAGAAACGAAACTGAAACATTCTCTGCAGTGGATGATATGTCAGCTACATATAAATGAACTGCCTCTTCGTCATATTTTTTCAATATCTTGACGGAGAAACTTTATGACCTCGTGTATACTCTGATGCTATAGAAAAAATTTTTGTATTTTTGTCATCCGGAGAACCTTCTTCTAGCAATGCTTTCTAATGATCGTCCTGCTATAAGACAACTTGGCTTACGAAAAATATTGACAAAAATAACTACAGACGCAAGAGAATTTGTTATTCCTGAATTAGATTTAGATGCCAGTGAATATTATAAGCTTATTGATTGGCAAAATTGCTCAGTTACAGCACCATATCTTTTAAGTACTACAACTGATATATAAGGGAATTTATAAACGATACAGGAACTTGTTCAGTAGATTTTTTGTCCTTTTCCTGCCGTACACAGGCAGTAGAGAGGTGCGTGAAAGTTGTAACAGAAGCTTCCAATTCTGTTGTCGGCCATGACTCTAGAGATTGATTTATTCGTGCAAGGATTCATTCTAGAACCACACTACCTCTATTTATTACACATATGGTTTGTATACAGTGTGTCAATTAAATACTACGTGTTTTCATAAAGTAGTGATTAAATTCGAAAAAAATTCAAGGAATACAATAATACAAACCAGATGATTCGTGTAGGAATAATAACGTCATCAATAGTTTTTTTAAATTTGTGACTAGTTGGCTCTTTGACAGTAGCCAAGACGGTGAATAAATAAATATTTTTGGAGATACATATTGTAATGTGTGACAAATTCTTGTTTTTAAATCTTATAATTTTACCGGCCTATTAACATACACTTTATTCTTTAAGTATCCCCGCAAAAAGTTATCTGAGGTGTCAAATCTGGCCATCTAGCTGGCCACTCAATCGGTCACCTTCTTCCTATACAATAATTCGGAAACACCACGTCTAAATAGGCGCGGACAGGGGCTGTATAATGAGGAGATGTTCCATCTTGCTAAAAAAACAAATGAGTTTTCGGAAGATCAAGTTCCATTAGATCTGAATACAAAGCTATTAGGTGCAGGAATAAGGTGGTATCGAAGAAAATCCAAATATATTGTACCGGTTAATTTTATATCAAAGAAATACGGATTCAGAATTCTTCCGCTTACTATGCCGCACCACACATTTACTTTCTGGGGATTTTGAGTGTTATACTGTATGATCCATTGGTAGCCCAATAACAGTAGGTTTGCCTATTGACGTGGCCGTTCAAAACAAAGGTAGCTTTGTCAGAAAAAAATGATAGTATAATATTATAATAAAACTAATTTGAAACATAAATGCACAAAAAAGAAAAAAAAAACAACGTATTCCCAAGAAGTTATAACAAGAGAATAAATATCTGTCAAATTTTTCCATTCAATTGGATTAAATGGTTAATCAGCAACAATTTTATTATTTTTTGACGAGTTTGAACACATTCACTATATTTTTATCTGTTGATGTTTGACGGTTCTATAGTATTACTAACAATTAGTAACCCCTAAAAAGCGAAGAAAAATAGTCTACTATACATATTGTTCGATATCCTAAAATAACATTGTGTTTTTTTTTTATTTATTAACATTTACTGCTTACTTTTTGATCTCCACATTGGCTTGACGACTTTGACTTCAACCATAAAAATGACAGCTGCAATGATGATTCCGGCAAGAGTAGCTTTCGGAATGTAGTAGAAATAAGGAGTGAAAAACAAAAGTGCCAATATAACTAGAATCCCGGTGTAGAGTCCTCCTAGAGGGGTACGTACACCGCTAGCATTATTTACTGCGCTCCTGGAAAGTGAACCCGTCGAAGGGAAAGCCTGGACGAAAGAGTTGGCGATGTTGCAGATACCGATGGCAATGAATTCTTGAGTAGCGTCTACCATTTTTCCGTTAGCTAAAAATAATAAAAACATTGGTTTTATTCAAAAATAAGTTTTAATTTATAGTATGAGAGCCCACTGCAAATTTCGACCGTCATCTGATAACGAAATGAAATATGCTTCAAAAGCATGTAACAACATTGTACTTTACCAAATTGCACCTGTGCCAATCCCTACCCTGAGCAAAGTGGTTAAAAAAAATTATTTTGTATTAAAAAAATCACATAAGACATGACAGCGACAATTGTATTTTCTCTGAAAATTACAATCCTAATTCACTGTGAACCTAGCTTTTAAATTATTAATATTTTTATCTACTTTTTAAACAATGTTTATGTATGAAAGGAAGAAGGATGGCATTGTATAAATCATTTGCAGAGATAGTCAATAATAATTATAAACTCTTGTTAGACAATTATTTTAAACCATAATCATAGTACCTAGTTTTTTGTCGTTTCTATGGCAACCTGTAAAAATGAATCACAACAAATTTTTAAATCAGCAAACATTGAATCATATTTGTAATAATTTTTACTCACTAATCGTGGATAGATGTTTTTGTGCGATGTTAGAAGGAAGAAAATGTTTCTCTTTAACGATATATATCAAGATATATTTGAATGTTATTTTCTGGAAAACTTTAAGGACAAACAAAATTAGCGCTGTCATGCCTTATGTGATTTTTATTAATATAAAATAATTTTTTTAAGACACTTTGCTCAGGATTGGGATTGGCACAGGTGCCATTTGGTAAAGTACAATGTTTTTCCATTCTTATGGGGTATATTTCATTTCGTTATCAGATGACGGTAAAAATTTGCAGTGGGCTGTTGGGCTATTAGCTAATAATTTTAATTAATTTACAAAAACTCTGGCATGTTTTCATATTACGGTATAAGGAATTTAGTTTCAACATGTATCAACCGAATAAAGAAAAATAATATGAAATAAAGTATAAACTATTTTTACTATAAGAAGACAGTGACATCATTATTTCTAGTTATTTTTATTGTCAACGGAATAAAACGAAAAAAACTGAGAGCAAATACGATTTAAACTTAACGTGCAGAGGAAATAAGACTTTTAAAGGTAGGCAATGCTTCTTGAGGTTGTTGATATAAAAAAGCGAAAATACTTCAGTGCGAGGTGAAAATTCAAAAACATTTAAAATGCCTAAACATTTAACCAGCAAACCTCTGTTGAACTATTTTCAACGAGAATGTGAAAATGGAAGACCACTGCTTCCACTTACTTCCATAAGAGATGCAAGTTATGATATTTACATCCAATAAATAAATATTTTTAATATGTAATAACATGCTGAATGTAGGGTTAGAGTCATGAAACTCGGAGATGCTATATAAAGTATATAAATATTATATATTTCAGAGAGTGGCAGATTACAACGGTGAATCGTATTGCAGCCAAGCACAACAGATATGAAATTCCTAAAAGCCCACCGAAGAAGCGAAACCGTTCAAAACTATTGTTGGAATTGTTTTCTTTGATCAAAATGCTTACTGAAACCTTATTTATAAAATGTACACAAAACAGTGAGTGTGTATCAAACATACTACATGCACAACATTTAACATTAGTTTTTATTTCAGAGGAACACATAACTTTACAAACATTAAAACAAAAACTTTAGGAGAGTGAACTTTTCAGTGGTTCTACATCGTTACTATAGACTTTTCGGATGAGACATGACTATTTAAAGATAGTACAATTGACGTTCCTGGCAAGACTCTGATAAGAGAAGTGTAAGGAAAACCAAAGTAGTGTATAATATTTGAATTTACTATTTACTTTATAGAATAGAATGAACTATTTTACATAAATCAATGTTTATAGCAAGTCATATAGCAGGTAACAAAACTTTATAATACTAAGGGTCGATCTTTTCACCTTCAGATAAAGTGTCAAGTAAATTTTTATCTCCCAGATAACTTAAAAAGTAAAATAATCTTTTTACTTTTGGATAAAACTAACCGGCACATAAAATGGCCTAATCTGAAAGATAATTTATCCTACCTCTAAACATCCTGATAAAGTACCTACTTAACTAATGGATAAATATGTATAAGTACATAGGGACGTTGTTGAAGATGTGTTTTTGTAAATACTGCTTTACTGATTTTATTCGTATAATGTAGGTATATTTATTCTTGAAAAAATACTTTTCGAAAAATTAAAAATATAAAGAAAACTACATCTTTGAAAAAATACATTTAATCAGATGAACAATCTATGTCGAAATTTTTTAAGTTCTGTGGAAATGTTAAATAAGTTATAATTTAAGGAATTAATTTCAGATTATTTCCAATATTCACTGTGAATTACCTCAAATTAGATGCATTTATATCCAAAATAGGAAAAAAGAATGAACACTGTCTCAATGTTATCTTTAAGTGAAGGAAAAAATCTACCTGACAACATCGCAGGTATTTTATCATGTGACGTTCTTATCGTAAAAATTCTTTACATGAATAGTACTTAGTACGTATAAAAACAAAACTTAAAATTTAACTGAATTATAAAGAAAACAATGCTATAAAATCAAATCGTTGTAGAACCTGACTGTTAATGTAATATTCAAATACATTGGGCTCATTAAGAGGAGAAAATGAGACAATTTTGCAATTTAGAAATATTACGTCGTAACGAATTTTTCAAGCACCCACTGTTAACAGTATTTAATAATTGACGCAATCTGTAACAATCCTCTGGACCGCTAATATTACCAGTAATTTTCGTGCCGTAAAACATGTGATGAAAATAATCTAATTCCAGACAAAGATCATTTTTGAATAATAATAGATATTTATACACCAAGTGAGTTAAATTAATTTTTATTCGCGAGAAGAATATTCCGAGCGAATAAAAATTAATTAACTCACGAGGCGTATACAATATTTTATCCAATTTTGACATTTTTAAATCAAAATATAGGTGTTTTTTAAATTTAATTTTGTATTTAACGACCATTTATGGCAATGTAATTGACAAGTAGTCGGTGCAATTTATATTAAGTCTGATTGTTAGGCGTTGTCAGGGCTTGTTTATTTAGACTTTGTTTATACCTAGTTAGTTGAATACTTAGATAAAAGAGACCAGAGATATAACATACACCGGTTTTAAACCTGCGCAAATGTTGCCAATTTCTAAAGAAGGGTTAACGGAGTGGGGGAACTGGGCGGCGACCCGAACTCTGTGACAGGGACCGGACTTTGTTTATTAGCATCTTAATGAACTATTAGGTTTATTTAAAAGGTGTTTAATCGAATTTTGTATTATGAAATCAAATTATCGTGATTTTTTAATATCAAACAGATGCCACGACATTTTATGTAAAGAAAAGACCTTTTATAGAATATTTCGTTAGCGTTTATTTACTACGGACTTTTCTGCAAGAGATTACAGTAAAATGTTGAAATAGAATATATTGTTAATAGAGCAAAAAATGTTACTCATTGTCTACGAGTATTATAAAAATAGCATGTGCGCAGGCTAATACTGCAAATCTACCCTTATGAGTTGAACATTATATTTTTTCTACGGCTATTACATATTATTAAAAATTAGTCAAAATGAGAAAATGCTGTTTTGTATTGTAACCTCAGAAAAAGTATATTAAGGCTTCTTTCTTTAAGAATATTAATTATTATAAAGGATGAGTCACATAAAACTCTAGAAATGCATATTTCTGAAACCAGATAACATTTTAAAATTTAAATCTATTAAAAGTCATTTGGTCGCTAGGGATGAGTGATTATCAAAATAAATTATCGATAATTGAAAATAATCGATTATTTTCGATCAATAGAATATTTTCAAACGATATATTTTCTGTCATTTCCTTTAAAATCGACTACTTGATTATCTTTGAAAAATCAAGAATAATCGATTAATTAAAAAGCCAATTAACCGATAAATCAGTGTTTACAAAATATAATATAAATAGAATTATCGTTTGTTTTAAATAATCGATTATTTTCAAATAAACCATTTTTTTCGTCCATGGAAACAGATTATTCGATAATCTTTGAAAAATCGAAAATAATCGATTAATCAAAAATAATCAATTAATTAAAAAGTAGATTAACTGATAAATCGATTTAAAAAAAAAACAGAATGATCGATTATTTTAAATAATTAATTATTTTCGAACAATCGATTATTATCAATAATCTATTTTTATTGTATTTCCTTTAAAATCGTTAATTCGATTATCTTTGAAATACCAAAAATAATCGATAATTCCAAAATAATCGGCTAATCGAAAATAATCAATTAATTAAGAAGCCGATTCTATAATATATCGATTATTACCAATAATCTATTTTATTGTATTTCAAAAATATTCGATTAATTAAAAAGTCGATTAACTGACAAATCGATTTTCAAAAAAAACAGAATGATCGATTATTTTAAATAATCGATTATTTTCGATCAATCGATTATTATCAATAATCTATTTTTATTGTATTTCCTTTAAAATCGATAATTCGATTATCTTTGAAATATCAAAAATAATCAATAATTCCAAAATAATCGCCTAATCTAAAATAACCAATTAATTAAGAAGCCGATTCTATGATAAATCGATTTTCCAAAAAATAAAACGAATTATCTATTATTTTCTAATAATCCTTTTTTCATATTTCCTTTGAAATTGATTATTCGATTATCGAAAATAATTGATTATTAAAAAGCTGATTATCCAATAAATCGATAATTTTAAAAAAATAACCGATTATATTCAATCGATTATTTTCATATAATATCTTTGAAAAATCGAAAATAATCAAATAATTAAAAAACCGATTAAACGATAAATCGATTATTTTGAATAAATCTACTTTTTTGTATTTCCTTTAAAATCGATTAATACATTATCTTAAAAAAAAAAACGAAAATAATTTATTAAAAACAGCGGATAAATCGATTTTCATTAAAAAATATCAGAATTATCGATAAATCGATTATTTTTGTAACCCCTATCGGTCGCTTGCTTTTATCTGAGCATTTAGCTCCAAAATTTAGAGATTCGGATTTTTTGATCTAGTTATCTTTGAAATCGCATTCGCTTGTATAATAAATAAATAAATATTGCTAAATTTTGGATTTGTTTTAGTAAACGAAAATTATGTTCGAGTTGTTTAGGGGTTTTTAATGTAACATTTTATTAACGTGACTAAGGGTCGATTCCACCGTTGTGTTAAACGAAGTTTAAAATGACATTTTTACATTAACACTGTCATTTTAATCTCCGTTTAACACAACGGTGGAATCGGACCTAACTCCTGTAACTTTAGTATTATTTTTTTTTTGCTTATAGTAGATTACTTTGTTTTAAGACTGAAAATTCAATGTCACTTTCGATTTGACCGCAAATATGATGAACCTTGAAATTTTAAGTAGGTCATCCTGTATTTCATCTAATATTCTTATAAAAATACCTTATAAAAATAAAATTTAGCTAGCAACTATGATTCTTTACCTCTTATTTATCTACCAAAAAGGGCTAAAAACTACCTTTAGAAAACATTCTTATAAAACTACTTTTTAAATACAAAATTTCGTTAGCAATAATACCTATTTACTATTTATTTAAATTAAATGTTCAAAATTTTACCCTTTTGTAAATTTATGTAAGTAATATGAAATCTGATTTCTGATGCTTAATATTTATTGAAACCCCTTAATGCGGATCTGAAGTATTCAGCCCAGAGAATCATGGCGCTTTATGTCAAAACGTTAATAAATATTTACCGCTGAAAACGAATATATTCATAACAGTAGTACTTGTATTACAAGTACATACAATTTTTCAAGATACATCGTGACATTTTGAACTTGAAATTGAATAACTAGAACACTTTAAATTGCTAAAATACCAACAAATAAATCAAAAAACAGCTGTCAATGGTGATTAAACTCAGGTGGAGGTGTGATCGCTGAATGGAAATCGGAGCAATTCGGGTGGCGTCGTGCAACAATGATTTTCAATTGGTGGGTTACTTTGGCTTAAAATAGACAACATGCGCAGTGTGCAATGTTACATCTTCGGTCTCTTTAATCTAAGGTTGAATATTACTGTTATTGACTAAAATCTACGATATAAAACATCGGCAAAAGAGTTAATTTTCGTTTAAAATTTTGAAAAAATGGATATCTTAGATTTTGTGAACGAAGAACTTGTTCCAGAAGAAGTGTTAAATGCAGCAAATGAGGCTTTAGCAAAAATAGTACCCAATAAATCTAAATCATTGTACGAGAAGAAGTATATGCTTTTTTGCCAATGGCGAAACAAAAAGCAGGTTAAAGGAGTTAACGAGAAGATAATAATGGCATACATATCTGAAAAATCAAGAAATGTGAAGTTCGTCATTATGGTCCTATTATTCGCAACTTAAGAAGATGTTGTCCGTTAAAGAAAATGTGGACATAAGCAAGTAGGTTTTTAAATTATATTAAAAAATAGATGTTTCAGTTAATAAAAGGTTACTTTTTCAGATTTCACGAAAGCATTTTTAAAGAACCAATCAGTGGGATATAGACCAAAGAAATCAAATGTATTTAGCAGAGAAGACGTCGAAAAAATTTTAGATACTGCTCCTGATGACAAGTATTTACTACTTAAAATAGCTTTGATAATGGGAGTTTCAGGAGGCTGCAGAATTTGCGAACTGGTAGCGATGTCCACTAATAATGTTGACGACAAAGGAAGTGTATTAGTGGTGAAAATTCCCGACACTAAAACTTACAAAGAAAGAATATTCACTGTTGTCAATGGAAGCAATAATATCAATGCAATTGATGTATTTCAGAAATATAAGAAATTGCGCCCGCAAAATGTACCACATACACGACTATTCCTAAACTATAAAAATGAAAAATACACGGTAGGTTTCAACACATTTTCCAAAATGCCTCAGAAGATAGCAGAGTTTCTTGGCTTAGAAAATGCGGGAGACTATACTGGACATAGTTTTAGACGATCCTCTGCCTCTTTGCTGGCGGAAGCAGGCGCCGATTTATCGATATTAAATAGAAATGGAGGATGGCGTTCTGACTCAGTTGCAGAAGGATGTGTTGAACAGTCTATAAGAAATAAAATAGAAATTTCAAGAAAAATATTGGGTAATGAAGTTGCAGTAGGTGCACCTGAAAAAGCTTGGATAGCAGCCAATAATAAATATAATATATCGGAGAATACATTACAAATTTCCAATTTAAACAATGAACCCATCGCCATCGGTACAAACATCGATTCTAACAATGGACCCATCCATTCAAACGTAATTTCTAATGTTTCAGAGCAACTAACTATTCCATTAATCAACAAAATGAAGCTCCAGTTTAATGATTTAAATAACTGTAACTTTTATTTTGATTATAAAAAATAATTATGCAAAGATAGTTTCCATTGTATTATTGTTTTCATTGTTTCCATAATTATTGTTACAAGTTGATTTTTATAATAAAACTTTTAGACTGATTCCATTGTTTATTATATTGGCTTTACATAATATATGCACACATGCCTAAAGAATGCTAATATCGATACCTAAATAGCGACTTCCACATTTGGCTGTCGACAGTAATATAGGTACATTATTAGGTTAACTAATAGTGACTTAAAAGTTTTTTAAGTCACTAGTGACTTAAAAAAATTTTAACTCACTCTTTTAGTTGCTAGTGAATAAAACTTTATTTGTTATTGTTGTTATGGAATTGATAAAGTCATTTTAATGTGTTAAAATTGGATAAAAATAATAACGGTTCTTGATTTGATCTTTGTGAGGCACTTGAAGTAGCTACATGGATGAGGCCTAAACCCATCGTGTTCAACAACCTAAGTAATTTTTAAGAAGCTATAGTAATGACAATGATAGGCCCCGCAGATTTTAACTTTGATAATAGTAAGAAATAGACAATTTCATCAAAAGGTTTTTGGTAGTTTGTGTAAATTGTTTCTACCTGTCTTTCAGAGTCCTAGTTTGACAAACTTAATTAAATACCAAGAAAATAATTGCTATAAAATTAATTTGGCTAAAAACTAATTTGATGAAATATCAATTTGAACCAAATAATTGTATGAAATAGAAGAAAATTAATGTATAATAATTATTAGTGCTCTAACAGCCAATTTATTTTATCGAAAATCACATTGCAATTAAACATCAAATGATAATTAACTACTAAATAAGTAATTAAGTTCACTATTGAGTATCGTGACTAATTAAGATTTTAAAAAGCAAGAAAATCATTTTTGATTAAACAAAAATTATATTTTTAAATCTATTTAATTATTAAGTAGAAATTTGTGATTTAAAAGTAACAGTTTAAAGAATTTAGTTAAAATAAAATTGAAACAAATAAAAAGGTATTCTGATAATCCTGCTCGACTTTATAGCTATTTATGTAACCAGTGATGAAATGCATTTCGTAACGTCCTACATAAATTATTTTTTTAAAGTTTGGTGCATTGTAAATTGCACAACATTTATTTCATTGGCATATTTAGAAAAATAGAAAATATTAGTTATTTATTCTCAACCACTTCTGGAGGGAGATTATCTTGATTGTCAAATTCATTTAGTTCTTAAAAAAGTGGGTTATTTTGTCGGATATTGTGTTTTTATTATTTTATGCAGATTTAGAATGGAAAATAAGAACCAAAAGAATTATTACTAGGTTGTAAGTTCACTAATAAAATCTATTTTTATATAGCCTAGCCAACCTTCCTTCATTCGACATAAACTTATAATAACCATATATGTATATATTGATTTTAAAACAAAAAAAGGTTTATTTTTATTTATTTTCTTTTCCCAACCGGTGAATTTTTCGTAACCAATTTTATAATGTTTAACTCTATGTAATTAATTATGTATGAATTAAAATAATTAATATATTATTAAAAACTTACCAAAAGCCTTGCACACGGCGATATTTTCCAAAATAGCAATTAAAGGAACCACAATAATTGCACTTCCCAAATTCGAGATAATCTCTCCGAAGGAATGGGTGGTCAAGGTTCCGTTGTTGTTGCTTTCATAACCAAAAGGAGGCAGTTTGACACTTGGTAATCCTTGAGGAACATGTCCAATGACTTTAAACGGTGGTTCTCCGTTTAAACAGAACGAATACCCGATGAAACCACAAACAATGACTAGAATGGCATTTCTGGCAGTACCGATCAACCAAACAAACTTATTTACTAATTTTTGAACTGTGGTTAATTCTTCGCTTTCGTGGTTGGGTTCTATTTTTAATGTGCCGATTATCTGAAAAATAAAAAAATATATTAGTATCCAATGCCTTGTTATATGTAAGGGGTGAATATTTGCGATACGAGAGAGGTCCCGCACATGAACGAGTTACATAAAACGTCATTTCGTAACGTGTTACATACAATATTTTTTCCAATGACTAAATTATAAAATTGCGTTTTAATAAAGTGGCCGGGATTTTTTAATTTAATTTTATTATTTAAAATTAATTCTGATGCCTTGGTAGGATTCCCCACTCGACCATTCACTGTTGGGTTCTAATTACCAGTGCTGTTCCTAAAGTGGCGCTGGGAAACAGTAACACAGCCTACACAGAACACGAGGCTAATAACCATAGCAGTTGATGCCGATGACACAAAAAAAATTAGTTGACAAAAAAACCACAGCAGTATTTATGCGAGCTTCTATTCGCCTTGGCATGCTTCTTATTAAATTGTCCACATTGTCGTGAGGTATGTTTTCCCATTCTGCTAATGCTGCATCAATAAGCTGTGCGACATTTCCTGCATTGTTTCGATGAGCTTTAACCCTTCTTTTGAGCTGGTCCCTCAAGTGTTTGATAGAATTTAGGTATGGTGAACATGCATGCCAGTGTAAAAATATGACACCTTCCCTTTCAAGACATTCTCCAGCCACTCTGTTGGTGTCGAGAGGTATATTATCGTGCATGAAAAAAAAATATCCCCAATTGCAGCACTCCAAAGCCTAACGATTGGTTCTAGCACTAAAGCAACATACCTCCTTCGGCATAAAGTTTGTTGAAGTGGTAACAATGGAGTTTTTTCTCCCAGCATAATACCACCTTAGAACATTACAGTTCCTCCTTGATATCTTGGGACAAATCTGATAGCTTGTAGTCTCGTCTTCCTGGAGCTCTGGGAATCCGAAATTGATGGTAATTTGATCTTAGACCAATTCTGGTCCCATCCGAAAAAAGAACATTTTGCCATTTCTCAATTGTCTATTTTTTGGGTTAAAGACACAAATTTAGCTGCTCAATTTTATTTTGCCTAGATAACTATGGGATCCATAACTCTCTCCTACTATACTACCCTCGAGCGCTAAATCTTTTTCTTCTGGTTTCAACTGAAAGGTTCACATCTGCAGCTTCTAGAAATTATCGTTGCAGCTATGGATGAGAAACACTTCTAGCAATTTGGCACACAAAGCGGTCCTATTATTTAGTTGTGACTTTTTGATGACTTTGTGTGGGCCTGTTCTTAAGAGTTCCTTGTTCCAAGTTCCAAGTACCTTGCATATGTTTTCGATACAACACCCTGGGTATAACGCCTACTACCTCTGCTACGTGTCTTTCCGGTATTCCTTATTCAATGAGAGCCATAATTCTTCCCCTCTGCACATCTGTTAGTGGTTTTTTAACCGAAATAAAATTACCGGAGAATCGTGATTTTAGTACTGAATACAAAATTCACAAGGCAATAAATCACAGCTGTCATTTCTTCTTTATTATAATGTTTGTTTAAAACAAAAAGCTAGATACCAATTTTTTTTAGAAATACAGAGTGATTCCTTATAAGTTTGGCTGCGTGTACAATAAACTTGGTTATATATAAAATAAAGGGGATCAAGCCAAGAATGGACCCTTGTAAAACTCATCTGAGTCTCTTGAATGTGAGCTGAGAACTCTTAGTTGTTTTTAGTTCAACTCAAAGATATTATTCTTGGAGTGGCGAATATGGAAATCCAATTGGTTAAATGTGGTGATCTTTAATTAATTTAGTGTTTAATTTTCATCTTAAAAGTTATCTTGTGAATTATTTTACTTGCAGACGACAAAATTATTTATTTTTTTCTTTAACATTGGTATTATCAGTATTCACAAATATTTTTGTTTAAGAATCAACCAGATAATTTGCAAATATGAGAAATAAACAACAAATTAATTGTTATTACAATAATTAGTAATTATAAAAATATGTCTCTTTTGGAGACTTTAATAACTATAAGCTAACCCGTAAATAGGTCAACAAATTGGTTTATATAACTGAGTTTCATGATTTGTTGTATTCCTTTATTTAAAATCTATAATTTTAGAGACAAAACTATTTTGTTTTCAAAAACAAAACGACCCAAGTCGAACTCAAATGAAACACAATCACGTTATTAAAATACACGGTGATATCGTCACCTAACCACTACTCCATAATTTTAGTCAGAATTTTATGGCCGCCTTGTAACACAAAACAGCTACTTCCGATGCTTCTGAAAACAGATTTTGGTAGACGAATTGAATTATGGACATTATCTATTTTGACCAATTTCCTGTGAAGGGAGGCCGAAAAATACAAAGAAGAATTAATATAATTTATTTTTTCTACGATCACTATCCAAAGTAGGCTTTTGCGATTCGAAATACAACCGCAAAATTGACGTTTTCCGCGAACTGACATTAAGTAACTGTTTTGTCGTTTGCAGAGCGGAAAACGTGACAGCTTTATTTATGCTTAGATATGATATATTTCTTTTTAATAAAAGATTTTGAGGTTATTTGTACGTAATTTGATGTGTTTTGTTTCATTATCCAAGTTAATATTGACTTTGAATATCAACTAATTTTTTCATTAATAACGTAGATATAGGCAACACATTATATACTACTTACGACAAATTTTCAGTTTTTATATGTATTTCTTGAAATAATGTGATCGTAGAAAAAATCTTGTGTGCATTTTGAGCGAAAAGTTCGTTGTCGTTTTCGCTCTTAATACACAAATAGCTATAACCAAACCTAAACTCTAAACACGCGCGTTATTTTTTTTTTGTGTTCAACGCCGTAATTATTTCTACATGCAACCACGTTTCAACGATTTTAGCGGTTTGCTTTTTTTTTAGTTGATTATGTTTAACCATTTAAGTATTTAAATACAGTGCTTATTTTTACTTTCCTATCTGTATACAGATAAGGAAAGTATGAGAATCATGATTTTTTTCGATCTCGAGTTCCCGACGGATTTTTTGGTTTTGGGGTCCCCTGAATTCGTTTTGACTATTTTCGCGATGATGTGTGTGCGTGTGTGTGTGTGTGTGGTGTGTGCGTGTACGTGTGCGTGTGCGTGTGCGTGTGCGTGTGCATGTGCGTGTGCGCGTGCGTGTGCGTGTGCGTATGCGTATGCATGTGTATGTATGTGTGTGTCTGTATCCACGATAACTCATGAACGGATACAAAGAAAAACACCAAAATTTAAACTTAAACTTTATTCCAGCCCGCGGTAAACTGATTAGATTTTGGGCAGAGTCGGAACATCTGGGTGGTACTTTATAGGGGGTTATTTTTATATTTTATGAAATATATCTGTTATTTAAGTTTGGAGAAGAAAATTTTTTACATAAAAGTCTCTTATATTATCTATAATTTGTGTTCTATACAAAATTTTCCTAAAATGGTCCGTATTCGAGAAATTTGACAAAATGTAAAAAAATCAAATTTTTATGAAAATTGTTCAAATAAAAGTTATTTGCGATATAATTCTCTATAATTTTTGTCCCATACATAATTTCTCTAAAATAGACCATATTCGAGATATTTGTTAAAATGTGTAAATTTTTAATTTTGAAGAAAACTTTAAAACGGAAAGAAAAAACCCTAAATTTTAAATTTATGCTTTATTTCGACCTGAGGTGAAATGATTATATTTTGGGCAGAGTCGAAACATCTAGGGGTTAGTTTATAGGGGGTCATTTTTATATTTTATGAAATATATCTGTTGTTTACGTTTGGAGAAGAACATTCTTTACTTTAAATATTATTATGTATAATTTTTGTTCTATACAAAATTTTCCTAAAATGGTATGTATTCGAGAATTTTTACAAAATGTAAAAAATTTTTATTTGAACTAAAAGTTGTTTGCGATATCGATCTTTATAATTTTTGTTTTTCACATTTCTCTAAAATGGACCGTAATGGAAAAATTGGAGGAAAAGTATAAAATTTAAATTTTTCAGTATTTTCGTTGGCAATGAATGTATATAGAAAAATGTTTCGAGTTAAATTTATGTCAAAAATGTATATATTAAGTTAACCTCTAAACATTTACAGAGGTGCTACAATCGGTTGTACAAAATAACCGAAAAGAGCCTGTAATAACTAAATAGGAAAATCATGTGCAATGGCAACAGGGCAACAGCCAGTTGTCGACAAGAATTAGAAGATATGGTGGTGGGATATTAGCCGAACTGAGATTATAGCGATAGCGGGATATCATAGTTGCCACATGTTCGCTTTTTAAGTACGGCTATACCTAATACAAAATAATAAGTGCTGTATTAAGTGCTTCTTTAAATAAATAATCGTGTATCTATATTGTATGCGGCAAACTCTACATTATACATCTAAATTTTGACGCTCAGATTTAAGTTTCGTCAACTGTACTTTATAAAGCACTGGAAGCAGTTGTTTTGTGTTTTAAAGCGACTAACAATCTGGAGTGTAACTGCTGACGATATCACCCTGTATTATGTTGTATTAAATTCTACTCTGTTAAATTAAAATAATTTGCTCTGCACCTGTTGTCTCTGGTCTGCACTTATTTTTCTGCAAATATTTTTTGTTCTCAGCATGACCTCTGAAGGTTAAATTTGATTAATTATAGTTTTACAAAAACATTTTGGCTTGAATAAAAAACGCTTGAATTCAATAAACTTTTGTTCATCCTACCTTCGCGACCGCTATTATTGTATAAACATGTTTATCGCGAGAGAAAAAGTCTGTCTTTACAAAAATGATTTAAAAAAATGTTTATCTTGAAATAAACTTGGACAACATAGACATACATAAAGATGAATAGTTTAGTCTTTTAAATTCGTTCAAATAATAAACTGACCTAATAATCAACATTCTAGTGGTTGAAAATGATTTAATTTGATTTTTATGTCATTCTAAGAAAACTCCTATATTCACCTTCAGGATATTCCGTATACCAACTTGGTTGACCTGGTTACTAAATTCGTGTTCCGTAGGTAATTATCAGATTTCTGAAATTATTTAGTGAAAATCCATTAAGTCTGACAATTGTTTACAAAAGGCGTTGTTGTTAACAAAAAATAGTAACATTTTACGCATTTCTTTATGAGCTTACCATAACTTACTAGAACATACTTATGTTACTTAACGGTTTGGTTACTCCACTGACGTCATGTTACCAAAGCATGTAACTACATCTTACGAGGCATTTCTTTATAAGCTTACTAGAACATACTATAATAATAACAAAATTAAAACATCCTAAAATTTCTTAAAATTCAAAGGTCGTTTAGAAATTCCCAATATTAGGGTATGGTCTGATATTAACCGACTACTAACCGTAACTAACCAGGAGTTTTTGACACCGGTTCCTGATGAAAACTAATTTGTTGGGTACATTTGAATCATGACCACATACTTTGATTACTATATGGTGCAAGAGAGAGGTCCGACACGCCCAACATAGGGCGCGGCCATTTTGATTCCTATGCCACAGTTTATAGCTAAAGAATCAGATCGCTCACTCTGCGTCGGCACTTTTGATCTCAATGTTCCAGTTTATAGACTGCGCAACTCGGATAATACAATATATGACAACCGCCTATAATAAAACAGCAGTCTTCTGCGTATCCTGAATCTGTATCCCTGGAGTGGATGTTATTTTGGAACTTTCAACTGGTCAAAGTGAGCTAACTGATTCTTTAGCAATAAACTGTGACTCCAAAAATAATATTCACTGACACTGACAGCAGCAAGTAAAATATCAGGTGCGTTTTAATCATCCGCTTCTGTTTCCGGAATTGTCGGTTTAGTCGTTTTAACTTGTCAGATTAAAACAAGAAAACCAACAATTCCGAAGCAGAAGCGGATGATTAAAACGCACCTTTTAAAAATATTGCGCCAAGATGTAGGCAACACGTAATAAGGGTTCAAAATGGCGGAGTTATCTATCTCCTTTTAAAAGGCACTCAGAAAGCTGCGCAGTGCGACCATTCTCCGTATAGTAAAAGAAAATCAAAGTATGTGATTATGACCGAGAGTTGCGTCATTTTTGTGAAAAATTGACATTTGACTTAATGGTAACCATAAAAATATACCGGTTAGTAAATTGACATTTATCTAATTTATCAGGTTATTTCAGAGTGGTTAGTTTTGGACCGAGTAATCGATATTTTGGTTGATATCGGGACCATACCCTTAAATTTGACATATGACATTAAATAATACGTTACAACGGTATGTGTAAACACAGTACGGTAACCAAGAATGCTGTAGTAAGCTTATTAAATAAATACATTTTGGTATCTATAGCATTTTTGACCCTTCTGAGGAGTAAATTTTCTGCATCGCTCGAGCCAGACAGTACCTATATTATTGAAATAAAAAATACTTATTATTTTAAAATCTCAATAACTCCGATAATCGTAAAATATTTTAAACGGAAATACATAAACAATTTTTTTTCCTCTGACATTTGACAATTATTAATCATCACAGGGATTCTTATGTCCGAAATCGACACGATACGTATTGAACAGAGAGAAATATTAAACAATCGCAGTTGGTCTAACAAAAATAAGCGTCTCGATACGTGACGTATCGAAAGATGAAAATCCCACTGCTGTTTTCGTTTCGTAAATATTTTCATGAACCAAGAACCAACGCCAAACCAGCCTGAAAAACTAAACTGGTTAACTAAGTTGATATATGGAATATACTACTTATTTCTAGATATCCTACACCATTGACCAAAGGTATGCCGTCAACCATATTAAATTTGTGAAGTAATTTTATGTTTTATAATATTTTTACGTGGGCCACCTGACCGATGTTCGAAACTTTTTATTATATTCAATTTATGAGGTATGCAAATACGAAATAAGTAGTAAATAGCATTCTATGGTGATGACGCCTAAACTGTAACTGGATTTAATATAAATTTCAATGACCAATGACGAAATAAAGACGAGACTGGAAAAAAATTGTGCTATTGACGCGGAATAACAAAATGTATACAATCGAGAGAAAAAGCGATGGCGCGCCATCATTGAAATAATAATTGCTGTACCTAATAAAATTTTTAGCCAGACATTATTTGGTATTCAGAGGAACTAGTAAGAAGTTGTATCACAGAGATATATAATGGTAATTTCTTAAAGGCAGTGCAGATGTTGGCCAAATTTGATCCAGTTATTTCAGAACGCTTTAATACACCCTAAATAAAAAGATAACAAAACATGTATTCCATACTACTTAGGGCAGCATTTTTTAAATGAAATAATTATTATTTTGGACGAATCTTCTACACGCGAAAAGTCAAATATTGCACTATAATTCACGACTCTACAGAACAAATAACGTTGTTAATTAGATGTGTGAACACTAGTGATGGTAAGGTAAATATTTTAGAATTTTTTCGAGTAACTAATGCCACTGGAGAAGGTCTGTGAAATTTTTTTAATAGAGAAGCTATTACCTAGTCTGCAGTCAAAGTTATACGGGATCGGGGCTAGGTCAATGGATTGAACATGAAGGAGAAAAATATAGGGATTCATAAAAGGAATCTCGATATCAATCCTAAAGCATTTATACATCGTTAATGATGCTGCCAGCGTCAGTTGTGAAATTTCTGTTTTTTTCTGTTATAGCACAAGAGGAATACATTTACTTTTCTGCGTCCCAATAAAGATAGGATTAACTAAAAAGATACGTGAAAAAACTAACTTTAAAACCGTTAAGTGAAACAAGGTGTAAAAGTCGTATGAATGCTATTATACCTCTAAAACAAGACCTAAAATAGCTATTTGTGTATTAAGAGCGAAAAGTGATACTTTGCCGCTTAAGACAAAAAGTTGCCGCGAGACGCGTAGCGGAACGCGGCAATTTGTAGAAAGCGACAAAGAAACTTTTCGCTCAAAATGCTCACAAGACTTTTTCTACGATTACATTATTTTAAGAAATAGATATAAAAACTGACATTTGTATTGTTTAATGTGTTGCCTATATCTACATTATTTAAGAAAGAAGGAGATAATATTCAAAGTCAATGTTAACTTGGATAATAAAAGAAAAAACATCAAACTAGGTACAAATAACTTCAAAATCATTTATTGAAAATAAATATTATTATATCTGATTTAAATTAGGCGAGTGACAATTAGACGTCTGGGCCATATACTTTTAATAAGACCCACATACTTTGATTTTCTTTTAGGACCCGCTCCGTGCGAGGTTTCTAAACGCACTCCTGTCACTTAATGTCAGTTCGCGGAAAACGTCAACTTTGCGGTCGAATTTCGAAGCGCCAAAGCCTACTTTGGATAGCGATTGTAGTAAAAATATTACCGCATTAAATGGCACAAATGAAGATACCACCAGAGATACAAAAACAAAAATGGGTGCTGAGGCAATAATTAAAAGTCTTGAAACATTAAAACTTTTCTGTTAATTTTTAATTTGGCATGATTTATTAGCAAGAATTGATGTATCGAGTAAAATGCTTAAATATCGCAGAATGGATAGATAATCTTTAAATATATTTAGTTTCCCAAAGATCTGACGATACACTTGCTAGAGGTTTAGGTATTGATCCCGATTTTTCAATCTCGAAGCTCAGGAAAAAGGTCCGTTCATTTGATTACGAGGGCAGTTATGAACTAGTTTAAATCCCTTTTAGCAATTGAAGACTGCTTTTTATTTTGCAATTCCTGATCATGCGATCTCTTCAGTTAATTAAAGATTTGCCTTATTATCTGAGTGCTATTCAATATTCTGCTTTCAGTTTGAGTTTCATGACATTTCTAATGATGATCTCATGAAACCCTGTATGGACTTGGATATTAAGTTACAGGAGGAAGGAAGTATTTTAAAAGATATATAGATGGTATATAACTCGTTAATGATATACCTTCATTCAAAGATATTTTCCAGGTAAAACCAGTCAGTTAAGAAATTAGAAATTATAGTCAAAAATAATCTCATTCCCTATTTTCCAAATTTTACCTGTTTTGGTGGATTAAGGTGAAGGAAGTTTCAGTAAATTAAAAATGAATAAAAATTAAATGATTAATGCTTACCCTTAATATAAGGAGAACGGCAATACAAACAACACCCAACATGGCGTCCCATCCTTGAGTGTTGTGAATATCTTTGAATAAGCTTGTCCAAGTTTCTACGAACGTATTACCACTCGCCTTTATACCTAGAATATCTTTCACTTGTGAGGTAACAATGATTAATGCTACGGCAGAGGTAAATCCAGATGCTACTGGTCCCGAGACGAAATCTAGTAGGAATCCTGCAAAAATAATCATTATTTCTATGTGCAGATAAAATTAAAGGATACACAAACAGGAGAGGATATACGGAGTGGCCCAAAAGTCTGGAAACGGCCAATTATCTCGTAAATTGCTAATCCTAATTGTACAAAATTTGAGGTACACCTATTTTGGGATACGGAGATATTTTACTATTGTTTGTAGAAGTAGAATTTTATTACAATTATCGTAATTACTACTACTAACTTCTGTAAAAATTTGTACAAATATTAATAATTATCTCTACAAAAAATAGTAATACTTTACATCCCTTCTTATGAAAAAGATTTAATGTGAATAAAATAGAATTCTGCTATTGGCCAACGTTTTCTGACGTCGACCATAAATGGCCAGAAAGCAGTAACCGTTCGCCATGTTCACAAAACAAAGCATGGTACATATATAACACATTATTGTATTATAAGTACCGATGCGTTTGAAAAAATTTTAATAATAACTTCTATTAGTGGTAAGTACATTTATTATTGTTTCTGAATAATTTAGCTTTAGATAACTAATTTAAATAGGTAACCTTAGTAGATTATTTTAAAAAATATAGTTGTGGCCAACGATCGAATGTTGTGCCCAGCGATCGAATGTTGTGTCAAGTTCAATGATGTTTTTTTGTCTTAATTGTGACATACCTACTTTCTCATTTTTGTTAGTTATCTGACTTAGTCATTTAATATCTCAATCAGTGTAAAGGTGATAAATATCCCCGTTTTAAGGGTATGAACAGTTCAATAGGTATTAATTTTTTTTTCAGATTTTTCAGGTGCAGAAAAGCCAACTGAGACTGAGGGAGCTATTATTACTGTTATTTCTTACATAATGTAATTAAGACTTTGTATCTTTTATATTAAAACAATAAATTTTGAATATTTTATTAAGAAACATTTTTTCTAGGTTATAATAATTATGGAATACTACTACAAATTTTATTAAAAATTACTACAATTTGTATGAATTTTTACTATTTATTGTGTAAAATTTTCGTATTAATTTTCATGAAACGCAATACATTTTTAATATAAATTCATGCAATGAATAGCAAAAATTATAACAATTTGTAGAACAATTCTTATGATGCATTTGGATATTTTTACTACATATTGTAGATAATAATTCTGCAATACATTCTCTACATATATTTGGAAATGTTTACTACAAATTGTCCCTGTCTCTATATGTACTCTTTATTGTAGAAAAAAAAATGTATAATTGTAGAAATTTATTCCACAATTTTTTTATGTGTGCATAACTGAAAATTATCCCTAACTTAACTCATGTAATCGTTCTTCTTCAAAATTGGTTTTGTTTCGAGAAAACGCTAAAATGTTTTTTGTCAAGTAATTATTATAAGAAGTTAGGCTAATTATAATTTGTTCTTTGAAGGTCGATTTTCAAATGGTATTTACGGTATTGCCATATCTTTCTTTATTCCGGAAATATAACGAACTTTTTTTTTTCAAATAGATCGCTCCCTGTATATTTTATTATTGATAGATTGCTTAAGACATTCTAAATATTTTTCATGTAATACTTGAAATTTCATAAATATTGTATTCAAAATAATTGGAGCGTTCCATATACATTAGCCTCAGTCTGAATATTGCTTACACGTTTTACTTTAAATAATTAAAATTTACTTGGTTATTTATATTTTTATGATAAAATAAATGCATTTTTTTGAGTTTGTTTAGTAATTAAGCTTGAAAATAATGTAAAAAGAATTTGAAATTGTTATTTTTTCATGCATATATGTACTAATTAGGTAACTATATTATCTACTACTTTTTTGTTTTATGTAAACAAAGACTAAGCATTATAGTAATTAAAATTTATTTTATTATCTTTTTGAATTTTTATAACATTTTTTAAAATAATAGTGTACACAGGGTGTCACATTAGTGAGTAATTTTTAATATTTTAATTTGTTGTATAGACACGCAAACAAGTTTTAAATAAAAAATTTATGAATTTAAAAAAATATGTATTTTAAAAATATTTTTGGATATACAGGTTGTTGCGTTTTTGCCTGGCAAATTAAAATGTATATTTTTTAATGTGTATTTTATTTTAGTTTTTGAATGGTTTGGTACTATTGTATTCAACCCAGAAATTTTTCTTCAAAATATTGCAGGATCGCCAAGCAATTAATTATTTTATTAAGTTACAGAACGATGCAGATTCCAAAATAAATTGTTGTAATATAGGTACGTTTGCGTTAATTTCAAAATTGTTTAATATAAAGACTTATCACATACTAAGCTAACGAATAGTGGTGATAGAAATGATTTATTTTATACAGAATATCTTAAATATGGCTAATTTTAAGTTCAATTTACTCAATTTTTTCAAATACAACACCGTGTATATTATTTTAGAATAAAACTCCTTATGAATTTACCTATTCACCGTTACCAATATAATAGCCAATAACACATATACAGGGTGTACCAGTAGTGCGTAATTGATCTATAACTGTTTTTTTATTAAAAATGCGAAAAAAACTATATTAAAAGAATGACCATATTTAACAATTTTTCTTAAATATATAGGGTAGTCTATAAATGAGAGGCTGACCAAATCTATACTTTTTTAAAGCAAAAAAACACCTTGCAGGTAGTTATAGATATTTGATCGTTTTCACATTGTGAAACAATTTTAATTGACTTCATTCATTTGCTATGATCCCTATAGGGAATTTCAAAAGGTCAGTTTACAATTTTCTCAATTTTTTAAATGGTATTAATTTTTGGTGGTATAACATACAGGGTATTCCATTTAAAAAATTGACAAAATCGTAACCTAGCATTTTGACACACCCTATCTACAACATAGCAAATAATTGAAGTCTATTTAAATTGTTTAATGATGTGAAAACCATCAAATCGTCAATATCACGAAGTGACGTAACCTAATTTTCACAACTTTGCAAGAGAGCATTTTAAAGTTTTTTTTATAAAGTTACGTCTCTTCGTAAAATTATCAGATACACACGGTTGTAGAGTATACTTTATAACCTAATATGTGACTTATCTCAATTTTCAATTGTTCGAGTTACATCACTTCGTTATATTGACGACGAACTACCTGCATGGCGTTTTGCTCTAAAAATGTATAGGTTTGGTCAGCCCCTCATTTATGGATCACCTTGTATATTTAATAATAATTGTACCATCGGTACGTAATTGATCTATAGCTGTTTTATTATTGGAAATACGAAAAACAAATTAATATAAAAGATTTTTTTTGGTTTGAGCTTTTTGTCATTCAGCCAGTCACTTAATGAATATAAATAATATAATACAAAATAAATGGTAAACACCAATGGCAACAAAAATAATAATCCATCGAAACAAAACCAATCTGTCGAAACAAAACTAATCTAGGCCACGGTGTGTGTAGGGTAATATAACAAAGGTAATTAGGATATGTCAAAAACAAAGGTAACAAATCTACTACAAGCTTATATCTGCTTTTGACAAAAATTCTATCAAACAATCAAAATTTTCTTTTTTAGATGAAGCCAAAATTGACAATACATTAAACGCAGCAGTTATATTTGGGTCATTCTTTAGAAAAGGTACAATTCCAAAAGGTAATTTGGATTTTCATTTTTTTAAATGTATTTTTACAAATTTTTGCAAATACGTTACAAAAACATTAATTATCACAATAAAATGGATGGCCAAGCTTAATTTTTATTTTTTCTCCTTTTTTGGGAAATTAAAAATTATTTTGATAACGGTAATCACGTCTTTTGATAACGAAATACTGCATAATGTAAAAATTGTATTATTTAAATATCCTTGATACAAAAAACCGAAAATTGCAAGAATATACTTTTCTAAAACAAAAATTAAAAGATAAAAGATCAAAATATCTACTTTTATTGAGCACGTACAAAAAAAAACATTTTACAAAATATTTTATTCCAAATTTTCGATGTTTTTGATTTCAGTTCCATCGAAATAATATTGGTTTCTTCGTTCTTCGGGTGCCTTTAAAATCAAAACAATATCTTTTTTTGGTACTGGATAAATATCATATTCACTGGAGAAAACAAATTTATTACTTTTGTTCTGTCTTCGCAGAAAGCTGATTAGTAATAATTCATCGTTTTCGGCTTCACTTAGAATTTTTCCTATGCAGTATTTCTTTCTTTTCTTCCCTAAAAACTCAACTATAACAAAGCTACCATCGGCAGTATTAAATTTTTGCCCAGTTACTTCATCCATTACTTCGCCCTCATCTGAATAGGAAGATGCACATCAGAATATCTCAACCTGTTGCTTCTTGAAGGTCCTGCTTCATAATCATTATTCAAGTGGTTTTCAAAAATTTTTAATCCTAGATGATAATGTTCACAGTTTCCAATACACTGTAGACAGCTAAGATATCGAAAATACAATACATTCGGTTTCACATTATGCCAAAATATTTGTCTTATTTTTAATGTGCCTTTAAATGCATTTAGCTTAACCGGAACAACAAGATCGAATTTGCAAATATCTGCTTCACTATCCGATAAAATATTGTTTTTTTTACAATTCTTTTTTAAAACAGAAAAAAGTTCGTTAAATGAAGACACATCTTTGCCATGTGCCACGCTAGCATCCGCTGTTCTTTTAACAGCTCCCCGATCCCATCTGGAGTCCCCTTACCATGACCACTCTCGCTGTAGTAACATTGTATTTGTTCGATTTCTAAAGTTTTGGCAATTTGTTTAGCTATTAAATAAAAATCGTTTTGTTTTGTATTGAGTTGTAGGCCCATCACTCAGAAAATGGGCAGTTTTGACTTTCCCTATCTGCGTTTTAGTCCTTGTAAATACTGGTTCTAAATGGGCACATATTGCTGGTGGATCATGACGCACGCTCTCTGATATTGTACAATAGTTTGTATTTATTTTATTTTTGTCCTTGTTATGATAAACAATTACCGTATGTAAAGAAACTTGAGGTTTTGACCCCCC